CGGAGATAGCGACCTTAACATTACAGGCATTCTCAACATCATGTTTAATTGAAACTTGTTTAAAAATATAATGATGTTATGGCATTCTTTGAATTTTTTTGGCAACAAATAGTCTTAATAGAAAGGAAATAATTTTTTTTTTATATAAAAAAAATGTTGTCTAATAAAAACATAAATTTTGTAACAGGAAAGTTATACAAACAATAATATATTATATTATTATATTAATACAACAAATTATATTATTTTGTAACAATATAAAAATGTATGATTTTTACTATTTCTAGACGTGTCTGCAATCGATATCAATCTCAGTGCATAGCTATTAGGTCGAGTGTGTCGGATGTGCATTTCTGATATACATATGTATCAGGGAAAGCAAAATAAGGATCAACGATCTGGAGAAAGTCCTGTGCACCTCCGCATTGTATTATACATTTTTATTTATAGCCACATTTTTCGGAATTAGTTGTCATGAATACATTTATTTCACTTCCAAAATGAAACTTAATTTTTTATGTTTGATAAAGTATTGATATTATTTAAGAGGATCCGGGACAATGTAAATAAATATTAGAACTAAGTAAAACATTATGTAAGAGAAATACATTAGTTTTTGTTTTTTAATGCAGGTCTAATTTAAGTACAGTGAAAATTTTTAAAATTATTAAGAATTTTTTTGAATTTGTAGAAAATAGGAAAAGAAGGACTAGGAAACTTCGATATAAAAAAAAAATATTAATTTTCTTATTGTGATTATTTTCGGATCTTGGGTCACATTTAGCTCCGATGTCGCATTTTGCTACGAGATATCTTTTATAAAATAATTATACTTGTAATTTAGTTTTGTAAAGTGTGAGCATGAGCAATGAAGGACATAAGAGTTGTGAAACGGTAATTTAACAATTAAGAACATCATATGAACATTTACAAAAAATAAGCGAGTATATGAGTTTGGTTTGTATTAGTGAGTAACACATAAAATGGAATAATATCATTATCTAGAACTCAAACATGTTTTCAATAATTATTTCCGTCTTTCTTTTTCGCAACTCCTTTTCACGAACTACAGGCACATTCCTGAATAATATTCAAAATAACAGAACGTACTCCTTTTAAATTTCGAACATACTGTCAAGTAAATAGTGTGACCAGAAAAACTAGGATATTTATTGATTTTAATTCGATTTTTGACAAAGTTAAACCCATAAAAATTTAATATCTCACATCTGTGTACATTCTCAATAATTTTAGAACAAATTGACCGTGATTAAGTTTTATTCGAAATAAAAAGAAGGAAGTAACAGCGTTTATTATGTGATACTTGGTCAGTATCTGTTTATTTTACTTAGTTTATGTCTGTTTGAAGCAAAAAACATTTGATGGATAATTAATCGCAACAAACATAATACTACCCGTAAAAAATGTTTTTAACATCAGAAAATTTTATGTGTCCACATATGACAAGATATTATCTGATAATGTCCGCTTATAATTTTTGATCTGTCCTGAAATGCTTATATATGGCCTAATATTGAAATTGGTTGTACTCGGCCATATATGGACATATCCGGGTTCATAGTTTCTGGTATGAGTTGATATGCCTACATCAGACCTAATTTGATCATATATGCATAAGTATATATTTTTTTGACCAAAAGTAGTGTTCAAAATCTCATACAAAGAACGCATAAAGGTTGAATCTGTCTTCAATTTAGAAATAGAACTAATTTCTTGTTGAATAAACATTTTTTTATGTTACGCTCGTAACTATTTTTACGATTTTGAGTTAATTAAAAAAGTATATCGACGTTCTAATTAGCAAATTGTCTAACTCCATTTTAGAGAATCTTTTATTTGTACGAAAAAAACAATTAGTTTAAAATTTATTATCACTTTAAAAAACCATATAATATCATTAATATATAATAGAGATATAATGTTTAGGTTTGAATCATTCAAATAATTTATAATTGGATTATTGCTACATCAAAATGTTAAAAAATTACCCTCTAAAAAATAAGGAGTTAGACAAATTGCTAATTAGATCGTCGATATGTTGATTTTACCAAAACTACTTTTGTTATATCATCTTCGCTATGGTTAATTTTTGCGACCAATTTTAACAATTTAAAAATCAATAATAAATATATTTGATGATTTTTGGTTTTACCACAAACTAAGTAGTTCAAAGCATATGATCTCTCTTCTAATTAATCAAAAATGTTAGCTCAAAAACCAGCATCAGATCTGTGTAATTTAACCTTGAAAATTAACTATTTATAAATGGCTTTTTTCATTTTTAAATGCAATAGTATTGAATAAATTTGATTATATATTTTTCCTGTTAAAATAAAAAAAAAACCTAAGGTCTAAACAAAACTGCAATTGAATATTGAACGAGAATGTTCCATACCTACTGACATTAATAAAAGGTCAGAGAAACTTATGCGACGTTTCTCGTCGATTCACTCACCAGTGACTTTTGTATCAGCGGTATTCGTCGTCTTGAGATTAGCGCCGTTGATTATGCAACTGAGGATGCAATTTACTTTTGATATTTACTATTCTAAATACTTGCACATAATCATTATTGACCTTACCGTTTGTGACATTTTCAATAAGTTCAACAGTCTGATGAATTCAAGTATTTTTCACTACAGTTTTGATTCATTCTTCTATTATTATTAATCCACAAATTCTAAAAGCTGTAAAAAATATGCACCTTTATGAATTTATAATTGATGAAAGTGCAGACAATCACAATATATTATTTAAAAAAAATACATTAACATTCAAATTGTAAGCTATCATTTTACCGGCATAATTATATAACGTTTTCAAACAACGTCCTCGAGTTTTTTCGAGTTACATTTTAACGATAATAACTTTTATGAATGCAATGGTTCTTGTTCTTCCTTCAAGGTTGGTTGAGTTTAATTCTTTTTCTTTTCAAATTCAGCAATATTCTCCTTCAACCCAACCTTCCGAATTCTTTAAATTTTTTCTCAATCAACATTTTTTAAAATCAACGCGTTCACCTCGACAAACTGCGTATTTTTGTATTACATTTTATTTAAAGCTCTGCAGGTTCTGTTAATTCTGTACACACCCATAGGATATGGGTATTACTCCTTAAATTAATGACTTCATAGTTTGACCTTTTAGTCTATATCTAATACATGAACAAAGGCCCATAAAGATACGGCCACAAAAAATTTTGACTTTAAAGTTTATAATAACACTTTCAAATACCTGTCTTAGAATAATTTATTGCCCCAGTTGTTAAGATGATTTATATATATACGCAGATAACTGAACGGTAAGAGTGCATAAGGGTGAAACTTAGCCGTTGTATTATTTTTGTTGATTCACAAACTTATCTTTAATTTTTGATTAAGTAATTTGTTTGAAATTATTAATGTAAAGAAAAGGATAAATTCTTTTAATTTGATATAAATTCTAATGAAAATTATTTTTACTTTACCGCCCTTGCATATCTTAATTTTACGTAAATTTATACGTAATAATATTTTACTCACAAGTTAAACTTAAGTAAATGCGATCTCTCATTGCATTTGTATACAACAATGGTTTGAGAATAATTTTTTAGAGATTGAATAAAATTAAAACTGTAAGGAGAGAAACAAATAGGCATTTTTTCTGTAATTGCATGGCTATTTTTCCAATATTAGAATGAAAAAATTTACGACGCTAGAATAGGAATAATTCCTATAAAACATGGTAAGAATTGCTGTAGAACATAGTAACTATTATCATGTTTCATATAGCAAATTTTTCATTGTGGTATATATGATTAAAACACCTATGTAACATAGGACAAATACCTATCTTTTGATTAAAACTGTCCCTGTGTTACCATAGGAAAATTTCCAATGATATAAAAAAATTATTCCTACGCGAAACAAGGGTAAAATTTATATTTTATTATAAGAGTAAATTCTATGTTGATATAGAAATAACAATTATGTTAATAAAAAACCCATCAGTGATCAATTTAATTGAAAATCATAAAACAGATCCGCTTTAATAAACGTAAGTATGATACTTATGATACCATAGGAGTTATTCCTATAGAACATAGTTATTTTTATAAGAAGTTTTCCTCGGCCAACATTAGAATGACTCATATATTAATATATCCTAATTAGCATAAGAATTCTTTCACTATCAACTTAGAAATGATAGCTATGGGAAAATAAAAATAATACATTTTTATCTTTCTATGCATAAGATCTATGTTATGTTTCAAAAATACCAGCAACTTTTTATTGAAATCTCTAACTTTCATGAACGTATTTAATTGATTAAAAAATTATTTTTAGTTTTTTTGTAATTTATGATTGTGGTTACCAAAATTTTTAGCAGTAGATTCAATTGATAATGATTTTCGCTGAAGATATTTTTTTTTCTTAAAGAATATCAAGAATAAAATAATCTGTAAAAATAACTTTGCGATTTTTCATTAAAAACTTTTTTTTTTTAATTTTAATTAAAAAATTTTTGTTGTCAAATTATTGCATTTTTAAGAAAAAAAAAATTTGATTTTTTTGATGATTCATTTTTTTATGATTGAATCATTTAGAAATGAAAAATAGTGTCTTAATTCGACTTTTAAATGTACAATTAATTTTCTTAAAACTCTTTTCGACTCATTTTGTTTTATTATTAATTTACATTTATACATTACAAAAAATATCGGAGATATTAAATTTATTATAATGAAAAATTTGAGTATATTCCATTTACTGGAAAAAATGAGTATTAACATTTGCTATTTTTTTAAAAGAGCATATCACATGTTTAAATTTCTAATTAAGAGACAATAAATTGCTCTAGAAGTATGAGAAAGATAATTGCCATTATAGTACCAAGTATTTTACTTTAAATAATGAATGTATGGTATAAAAAAATATTTAGATAATCTAATATTAAAAAATTAAATTTTTTTATAATTAATACTTCGATACCATTAATAATCATCCTCTCTGGTAAGGTTTACTTTTTACTTGAACCTCATCTTGCTGTGTTTCTTCGGTTTGCTCTTGAACTTTACCTCTACTATTACTTCCAAATCTTCCGCGAGTTCCTGGTCTGGTAGAGGACTCACTATTAGAATTACTTTTATTTCTTCCGCTCAATGATCTACCAAATAAAAAAATTGTATATAAACATTGGTATTGATATATTAGTAAAAAACAAACTATATTTTGTGACTTTTACTTTGATTTTGAAGTAGAAGCTTCAACGGATGAATGTGTGGAGGTTTCTCTGTGGGTACCGGCTTGAGCTCGTCGTCTTTTCAAAGCAGCCAAAAGATCTTCATTGGTTCTGCAAAAATAAAAGTTATTTATAATTTATAATAAAAATTGTTATTGATAAGATAATGATAGTAAAAATGTATTAATACCTGAATGATCTCATGATACCTCCAGCTCGGAGTTTTTTTGATGCCTCTGTTGTAGTAGTTGGGATATCTTCTTGTTCAGCATTTTCATCATCCACTTCATCATCGAGTTCTGTCTCTTCTTCTACAGCTTGTTCAACTGGTTTAGATGTGGTGGTTGTTGTCTTTAAAATAATAAACAGTTTGAATTTATGTTATACTTTTGCAGAATATAAACCCAAAAGAAAAAATAACAAGAAGTTAACAATGTGGATAACCTTGAGAGGTCATTAAGTCTAAATTCTGATCCTAAATTTAGTTTGCTACTACCAAAAGATTCTTACCATGTATAAATTTCGGGATTCAACTCACGTGGGCACAATAGAATCCGCGTTTATCTCAAAAAATAAGTGATTTACGAGCAACAAGTTATAAATAATGATACTATAAAATGCATTCTTCTTTACATTTTTAAAAAGAATAAAGTTCAAAATAATGATAGCTTATTTGATGAGTTAAAGTAATACACTTTTATAGAACTGGGAAGGAAGATTTTTCAAACCGAACAAAAGGTTCGGATTTGATTCGTCACTTTTAGCTTAAAATTTTAGCTTTGGTATAGATTTAGCTAGGATAATAATTTTTTTTATAAACATTGAAACTATCACATCATTTTCAATTATTTTCATAGTAAAAATATTAGCATTCACAGCAAATAGCTCATCCTTGAACCAAAAAAATGATCATAAAAAAATTACAATTAATTGAAAAGAAATATCTAATTAAGTTTTTTGTAATAAAAATTTTTCTTAATAAAAACAAAATATGCTGTCAGTGCAAATAAAAATACATATATACAATAATCAATAACTGCTATGATCAGAAATCATAAATTAACTATATTCAAAATGTAAAATGAAATATTATATACATGTTATTAAAATGATCAATAAAGAATAGGGTCATTCATTTGTGACGAAAGTTTTGTTTTTTTTCAAATTCTCAAGCTCAAAAAATTCTAGCCAAAAATGAGCCCTTAATTCTAATATTAAGGGGCCATGAAAGAAGATTTGATAACATTTTTATGAGATAATTTTTGGTGCATTGTTTTGAGCTAAATTTTGGACAGATTTTAATAAAATTTAAACCACATATAAAAAATAGAATAATAAAAGCAGGAAACTAATTCATTTATGAAATTTTTACAAAAAATAAATTAATTCAAAAGAAAAATCGCAACTTTATACAGCCTACAGAAATCTACGTCGAAATAATGAATTTTTGTTTATTTTATGGAAACAAAGATTATAAAAAAGAGTTCCCTGCATTCTTTCTCACTACTTAGTTATAACAAATTTATAAAACCGATTATTTATAATCACAATTATTAATAATAATGCACCGAATGTACGATAATTACATGTATAATGCACCGAATGTAATTATCGTACATTCGGTGCATTATTATTAATAATTGTGATTATAAATAATCGGTTTTATAAATTTTTTATAACTAAGTAGTGACAAAGAATGCAGGGAACTCTTTTTTATAATCATTGTTTCCATAAAATAAACAAAAATTCATTATTTCGACGTAGATTTCTGTAAGCTGTATAAAGTTGCGATTTTTCTTTTGAATTAATTTATTTTTTGTAAAAATTTCATAAATAAATTAGTTCCCTGCTTTTATTATTCAATTTTTTATATGTGGTTTAAATTTTATTAAAATCTGTCCAAAATTTAGCTCAAAACAATGGACCAAAAATTTTATCTCATAAAGATGTTTTATCAAATCTTCTTTCATGGCCTCTTAAGAGAAGTAATATAAAAAAAAATATTTTTTTTCGGATCAAATAATTTTTTTCAGTGTGCTTCCTGAGAACATGGGTCAGTGATTAAATTTTTAACACTCAGTCGCTTTTCAAGACATTGAAGTGCAATTTGTTGCATCCTGTAACGGATTTTACGTTCCATAAAATTTCTCTTGGGTCTTTCGGTGTCACTTACGTTGGTTCGCTTGTATAAGCTGTCAAATTAATTTTTTAAATAAATTACTGTTTTTTGTATATATATTTTTGTAAGAAATTTAATTCTCTTCAAGAAAGATTCTTTGAGCCAAATCGCTCCCACTTACTTTTGGTAAGAATTTTTTTTTTATTTGTAGATTGATATTTTGCTTTTAAAGACTTGAGAAAAAAAAACTTTTCTCAGAAATAAATCATCCTAGTAAAGAAATTATTTATGAATAGTTTATTTTATGTAAAGGACTGAATGTTTTAATCGTATCTATCGCTTATAGAAGGAAAACTTCTTTAAGATAATTTAATGAACTGATAAAAAAATAAGTGAATAATAAATTGATAAATGATCATTAAATTTTGCTAATAACTACAAGATAATAAAATTAATAACTAATAGCACTTATCAATAGTGAATAATAAAAATATTTAGCGTACACTATAAAGAAACATTTATTTTGGCTTTTTCGAATAAAATAATAAGAACCTTACTGAGGAAGTTTTACGACCAATTGGAGCTCTTCCCCGCGGAGATAATAAGCTTCCTAGTCTGCTTGCAGGTTTTGCAGGTGCTTGAGTAACTACTGGAGCTGCTGGTTCATCTTCATACTCGTACTCGTCCTCAGCTAATGTGCAGCTGATCAGGTAAAATGCCAATAATCTTAAAAGAAAAACAAATTTCAACATCTTTTTGCTCATCAATATCTTTGTTAATAAATAACATTTACCCGTTAATAATACTTTATAATTTTGTTTTTATGAAAAAAATACTATTGCACGCATCTCGTCTTTCATAATCTCAAATTAGTCTATTAAAAATTTTTAAACTTATGTAACAAAAAATAAGTAACTCTATAAGTTTACAAATTTGAGAATTTAATAATAGAAAAAAATTTTGAATCGAAATATTACGATTTTTTTTTTTTTAATTAAACTGACTCAAGATAAGAATAAATTGTTACTTTCAGGGAACCCCATAATTAAACTATTCCTTAAAAATAATTAATTTATTTTTTTAGGTCACAGTAAGTACTCCTGCTATCTATGTAAAGCCAAAAATTACTTTTTTCATACAAAAAAAAATTTTGTGATTAAAATCATTCAATTATGGTTATCAACTCAGTAAATAATTTTTAGTTTAAGAGAATTTTCTATATATTTCCAACACAATTTAAGTAAATGATTTTTAAATTAAAAAAAACTCTTTTTGGTAACAATTTTTTTCGAGTACAATTTATCAACTTTTCTTCCGGTATTCCAATTAAAGTTGTCTACATTAATTAAATCAACAAAAAATATAGCTGTTAGTATATAAAAACATACTATTATCTTCATACTATTTATCATCATATCTTCATACTATTTATCAAAATTTTTTTATCATTATACTTGAACATAAAACTATTTTTTTTAGTTTAGTATTGATAAGAAAATTTTCTCAACTGATTTCTACAATCGGTGTTTTTAATTATCAACCTGACAAGTTTAACTTATGAATTTAATATCAATATCTTTCAAACGGCTACCAACGTTCGTATTTAACCTGTGACATTAAAGTATCCGGAGTCTCACTTTCTCTGGCCTTTTGATCATGGCATGTGATTATATAGTATATAGTAATACATTTAATGCTTTAAAATACTCTTATGAATTCATGAGTAAACATACTAAAACTAAAAGTATTAAGATTGCAATTTGATTCAATTTATATTATACCTACACATTTAAATAAAAATAAAATATTCAAAAAGTTATTTCATAAGCTCAATCATATATAGAATGAATTAAATTATCTTTAAAAATGAATTTATGTAATTGTTAATTTTAGCTCAATACAAGTATTTGTACTTCATTGCTTTCACGTAAGCCGATGAAAATGCTTAAGTTTAGCCAGTGGAGCAGTGAAAGTAGACAATCGAAGACACAACCGGTTATATCGTGACAAATCATAAATCAATTGAAATATTGTTAATAAAATTTAAATTCTTTATTTGGAAATTTGATCAATCAGCTTGCTATAAAACAATGAATGCATTAATAAAGTTAATATATATTATTCTTACTAATGTTTTATAATACTTAACGTAAAATACACCTCTCATACTAAAGTTATGAAACAATATTTGTTTTATTAATATGCCTTTCGTCAGTATGGTTATTTTATTAGAATTAATTTATCATAGTGTAATGTAATAAATGGCATAGGTTTTTATTAACAACTATTATTTTAATTTATTAGCAAAATAAATAATGAGAATAAAAGTTATTCATTACCCATTTAATCACTTATAATAATAAAAAAGAACCTAATAAATATTAATGCGTTTCCGCATTAGCAGCCGTTCTTTACCTTAATAATTCAAAATTAATTGACAGAAAACTATCGAGAAAAACTAACAAACGAAAACTTGATTTCTGAACACGGAAATTTTTGCAACTAAAGGGATTAAATCAAAAGTAAAGAAGTCGGCCTTGGAATGTTTCTCACGTGACAATAATCACACCAGTTACACCAATCAGTAATTAGGAATCTGAATTCGTGAAGTATTTAAATATATAAATATCGCGAAATTTACATTTGAAATAAACGAGATTATTACCCACTTGTTTAGTATTAGTATCTTGCTAAATGTTTTTATTCAAAGTTTTAAACGGAATTAAAGTTTCGTTATAAGATCTATGTGTGTTTGCAAATTTGATAAAAATAAAAAATCTATCTATTGATTTTGATTTTGTCAATGTAGAAATTTATTAATTTGAATTAGTGAAATTCTGAACTAAGATTTCATAATAAAAGTGAATGCGAAGATACTAAATGATTTGGCATTGATACATCGAAATTGCTGACCTATATTGAGTTGCGATACACTAGAATTATGAATATCATCGACGAAAAATCGATTTCTTGCAATTACGTAAAAATTAAATGATTTCAAGAACATTTGATTCTACTGAAATGTTTTTTTGTGCGATTTGGTGGACTATCGACTGAATACATGATACGTAAAAATAGTTTATAATGAGATGCTTTTCATGCATAAGGCATAGCGAAAGTATACTAATCGAATAGAGCATGACACTCCTGTCTACACTTTTATTTGTGTAAATTATACAGTACATGATACCTGATTAGAAAATATTATTATTTATGTATTGAAATCATATTTTCTATTTTAGTTTTTTAACAATTACCAAATTCTTTTTTCAAAATAATGGAAAATTTTATCAAATGAAAACAAAATCTCGAAATCGTATTGATGAATATTGTAATTTTTGTCAACGAGTACATTGTCTACTTACAATGTGAAAAATTTTTTGTTTTATCTATCATTCAATAAAAGTGCTTAACTATTTGTCAAATGTAAATTTAATGTCATTGAAGGTTTTGTTACTTTTGATGAATATCATTTTTTACATTATTATACTCGGAGCCATATGTTTTTGATCACATATTTTTTTTTTAAATTCACAAAATTTCAGAGAATGTATTAAATTATGCAAAATAAAAAGAATATAGAACAACTAAAATTAACACGCGTTGCGAAGATTTTATAAATAATTTGCAATTATTACGATTGTCATACGCGCTGTTACCTAAATATCTAAGCATATGTGTGTGAAAGCTGATGCAAAAAATGAAAAAAGTTAAATTTATCAGTTAGTTGTAAAATGTTAAATATAGGTAATAATAAAGGAAAATTTGTTTACTTACAGGAAGATTGTAGGCCTCATGGTACTCCTGTGATCTCGGCTGGGTTAGAAATGTTTCTTCGAGGATGCTCGTAAGTTGTTGACGAGGAGGTGGAGGAATGGTGAATAGAAAAAAGAGAAAGAACCGATCACACCACTGCAATGTGGAGGTTGTGTACTTTCAAGCGCCGAGTCAAATCTCCCTCTCCTCTTACGATTTTCGTTGTTACACATTTGTCATAACCATATTTATAATATTTAATACTCAATACTTCATCGAATTTTATAGAATAAATTTACATTAAATTTAGACAATTTGTAAAAATAATCCATGACGACATAGAAGTTAGAACTTACAATCTTACTATTATTATGTCGACGAGAGAGTATGCTTTCGATTGTTACAAAAGCATTTTAATTACTGTTGAATTAAATCTAGAATTTTTTCAGTTTTCAATTCTCCTATCTACATAAGATTCTTTAAGTAATTTCTGAAGTTTATTAATCGAAATTTTTTTCGAAGGACTTTTTGAACTGAGTTTACTATTATGGAAGTCAGAAAAACTGCAGAAGAAAAGAAACTCACAAATTGGTATTAAATAACATTGAATTCGATGATTAGAATTTCGGCGAATGAAGAAAAATTAAAAAAAAACTACCTATGTCAGACAGATTTTCATGAATAAAAAATGTAATTCTTTTTCACCAAACTTGCAATAACATTGATACCCTATTTAGTAGAAAAAAAAATGAACCTCTTATTTCATAAGATTAATTGGCAGGTGTAACAATCCTTTTGTAAAATTTGAACATTAAGTAATATGTAAGAACGAAAAAATAAGTGATTTACCCCAATGGAATAAGCAGTCTCAATTGAAATTTTAACAATCGAAGGAACTGTTCGATTTTTTTCAATCAAGTATAATTAATAGAGTATGGAAAAAAAAGCAGACAAAGAGTGGTGAGAGCATAGATTTTTTTTTTGCCGACAACTTAAAAAATTTAATAATTGATTGTACAAAATTTCTTCAAGTATTGATAGTATAAACGTAAGGAGATACACTAGATAACATAAAAAATAATACGTTGGACCGTTCCAAAAATTCATTCATTACTCGCGTTTTACATTGGTAACTATAAAGAGAAGCCAAATTCATCCCCGTGAGTTGATGACTTAACATAAGGATTCTAAGCTTCAATAATAATAATAAGTAAATATTTACTATACGACAACGCAACTTGTCATCACGATAACATACACAGCTCTCAACAAATCGTAATGAAACTCAGCATACTTATTTCTTTAGACGATTCTGGAGGTCAAATTCGAATATGAGCCAAATCGGTCAATTAGTTTAGAAATAAAGCCATTCAACATATGCAAACTATCACACTCATACTAATTTTTTTTGAAATAATTTCCGAACACGATAACATCGAATTTCTATTAAATCCATTCGAAAGCTCATCTTCAAAGAAGCTTTAATAGTTTCGATATCTATCTGATGAAATCTTACTATTGCATTCTTTTTAACGATGCTGCAAGTTTTTGGTATTAGTTCTAAAAAATTTTCTTTCATTTTTGCTGCTGAATATTCTTTTGAAAATAGTAAAATTGGGTATTCTATTTGAGAAGTGTAACAAAAATCAGTAATAACGTACCATAATAAGCTTTGAAAATGTTGTCAAATCTATATTATCGTCACTATACGCAATACAACAGCGAGGTCGCTCTCCAACTGTCGGTACATTAGAAACTTTAGCTCCCCTGATAGCCAGCGCTTTCTTAGAAAGTATCAAAATTTATATAAACTTTACATTTGCGACTGAAGATACGAAGTATAAAAAATTTTTCGATATTTACATACAATGATCATATAAATATACTCAATGTAATTTCAAGCTAGGATATATATTACCTTACTCATATGACCACGGCTCATTATTATTATTTTACTTTAAGTATAGCAAAGTAAAATATCTTCAGTTCTCAGTATCTTTTCAGCAAA